GCTGCTTTGCAGTCCCATTTAGTTTTGTGGGAACTTCTACACGTTGTCCCGCACAAAACTATCTTTAACCAAACTCTTATGCTAATGGCTAAATTAGCACAGAAAGCTTCAAGGCTTTTACCCACAATGGGACATTTTATAAAAGGTCATAGCTCACAGCTTCACAAATGTCTCAAAGGAAAGCTTGAGAAGAGTAAGTAACACACTCGATTGCTTTCTGGCAGAGATGAACAGATTGTATGGCTAAATTAATACCCCAGCGACTCCAGCTTAACTCTGTCCAGTAAAATGAAGGTCTGCAAACCAGCAGTTCAAAGGTTCATTAATTATAACGTAAGACTGTAAAATATTAATAATATGAATAATGATATGGTTTAGTTGTATAAACCGTACAAAAGCTCTATTTTGGCCTCTGCTTTTAAGCTACATTTCCTGGCATTAAGCTCTTTTATGCTTCAAAAAGCATATACGAATATTTAATTCTTAACTTTCAATTTCCCAGTTCAAAATCATGTAATGTGAGTGCTTTGAACTGAGTTTTGACCCTAAAATGAATACACATTTTTAATAAGTAGCATCCCTTATTATAACATTGTTATAATGGCAACATATGTAGCAAACGGTATTGGTCTAACTCCTGAATTTTCTAAGGAAAACCAAATGGTGAAAGACATCTCTGGCAGCAGCCATGAGGCGAAAGGCCAAAATAAACGCAGAGCTGGACCTAGTTGGAGTCGCAAAAAGTGGACAGTATTGGCCTGACGAGGGCATTGGGGGGATTTGTTCCTCTGTGTTTGTCTAGGCTATAGGAAAATCTAACTTTATCACACCTCATCTGCTGGAACATCCCGCTCAATACCCGGTGTATTTTGGGCTTATTTGGCAGATATTTTTATCAGGAGCGCTGGCAGTGCTAGGCTGGGCAAACTGAACAGGAATGTGAAGAACATTGAGGACATCGATTCACGTGGACATATGAATTGAAGCAGTGACGGGGAGGTAATTTTATGTGATGGGTGCTGATGAAGGCAATGCAAAATATTTGGAATTTTGAGATGGACGGACGCTCTAGTAACTGGAAGTGAGGAATGGGGATTATCACGGCATAGCGCAGAGCCTTCTCCTGGGCTTTAGGGAACACTACATCAGGGATAGTTGGAAGAGGAACAGTTTAAAATATCAAATCAATAACCAAATTATAAGGTGTAAATATCACCTTTTATATCATAGCTTACTCAAAAATGTGGATTTTTCAAGTCCATCATGAAATGATAAGAACTCTGAGAAGGTGTGTTTACACCAGGCTGCTTTACCCTAAATGCTAACATTTCCATACTAACAATGGCAATAGATGCTAGAATTAGCATGAAACTGCAAGAGATAAGAATTATATTTATATAGTGAGTACTGGGGTGAAGAAAGAAGAAAAAGATTTGTATATGATGATAGTGGACACATTATAATAATTTGCTTGCCCCAACACGTGTGGCAGACAAAGAGAGTACATCAGTGTTGTTGAATTTTAGCCGACTGACCTGTGAGACCAAAGTGCGGAAAAACTTCAAAAATGACAATCATAGTAAGCATTCAAAGTAATAACCTATAGCACAGTCAAGTATATTAGGTCATTATTAAGTATTAGGTATAGTAACTGTTGAAGTACAGCGCAAGTCCTTCTACAAATGAGGTAGTTTTTTTAAAGTTTTTAATTAAACTAATGTTTTCTTTCAGTTTTTACCAGGTCGGAGTTGCTACCTGGATAGAATCACTTGTCAAATCTTATTAAAACTGCTAAAAGGTTATTCTGACTTTAGCCCAAAATAAGGTCATAAAAAGCTGTTGCCACTTTGCTGTTGCAGAATTATCTCAAAGATTCTTTGAGCACCATGTTTCTCCGTTGATGTCTCTGGCATATTATTTTATTTTAAAAAATGCCCACTTGGTTATGTTCCTGTACATCGTGTACAATTAAACGTTACTGTTTGCTGATTTCAGTGGAAATACCCTTTCTGATGTTTCCAGTGTTTCCACATCTGCGATGGAGTCCATCTGAGGGGCATGTGTTTCCATCAGTCAAGGCCACAGCAAACGGGTCGCTCTCTATTGCATAATTTTCACCCTCTACTTAAGCAGTTTGGGAAATGTAAAAGCCCTGCTACATTTTTCAGAGGTGATCCTTACGAATTACATCATTGGCTCCCAGGACAGATTTTGTTGGGGTCTCAGATAACAAGACGACTATTGTACTTTTAGTTTATTTATTTATTTATATTTTAACTTTTTACAGTCAGCACATGATTGCAACAAACTATAAAGCTTTTAGTGTAACTTTGCTTTGCTTCATTTCCCTCCTAAACTAGGACTTTCCCAGGCAAAGCAAGATATATAAAGATGTCACATTGGTCTCTGAGAAAATATTAGGAGTAAACTGCACTTTTATTTCCCATTTCACAGACAATACAAGCTTTAGAAAAAGCAGTGCGCAGAAAATTGATAATGAAAATGATGATTAGTTGCAGCCTGAGCTGGCAGTGATGCTAGAGGAAACACTGTCTTTGCAAAATGAAAACAAGTGAGTGAATGTTGGCTTTTAGCAGTATTCGTGTCATTGATGATGCCATCATCAGTGGCGGTTTAGCACTGTAAATGAATACAAGATACACACAGAAGCACATTTTAAAGGTCAAAGCAGAAAGTGAAAAAATTTATGTGAGGAAATATGAGCCTGTTATTGATTGTTAAAACAGTTCTTATCACCAAAGAGCATCTCTGTTGTCTGCAGTACATTTGTGCCATGCAGTGGTCTCACATACAGGACCCTAACCTGAAAGCTGTCAGTACCTTGGTAGCTCAAACCCTCCTCAGACGTTGGTGTCAAGATTATTTCTTTCTTCTTCCTATCTCGAAAAGTCATACAGCTGATTTACCAGAGCAAAATAAAAGAAACTATGGACAAAGGCACACTCGATGTGGTATACATATAGCCTAGTCAGCAAATAGAGATCCAGCCATAAAGGTGATTTCCAAATATTCCAGTGCAGATGTGATTATTTCAAGACAGAGTGTAAAAAACAAATATTACATTAAAACTGATTAGCATGAAATTTTAATATAAAACCAAGAGAGGTTTTCACTCGTGTTTTGAGACTTTCTGTTTATATTATTTGTATAGTTTCAGGTTATAAAGGTGGCTTAACTGAGTCGTTTTAAATAAAAAAACTAAACTGGGGTCATATTATTTCACAATTAATCCTGTAATTGTTAAATGCATCTCCATGAAAAATGAAAATATCAGTGTTCTTTTTCATGTGTTTTAAGGCTTTACAATAACAAATAGTCAAATACAAGTGACACAGACAACTGCAGATCACAGTAATGCTATAACAGACAAAAATGATACCTTAAAAATGAAAGAATAACTACTTAGCAACACAGACAGTCTCAGGATCCCCTGGGTGCACTTTGGAATATTCATGCTATTATAATGATTTTTCCTCGGGGTTAGGAACACTTTACATTCACAGTGCTTGGAAGAAGAAAAAAATAAAAACAGCAGGATTACTTTCACAGACGCGTTTTGAACGCCTACTTACAGCGTCTCCGTGCTCGCTGGGAACCTGGGGAGAATATCAATGTCAAAGCAGGAGATAGTGAGAGTCTTCCACTCGGAGCACTCGCAGACGGCAGGGCAGGAGTCAGCCTCAGATGCAGTGCTGATAGGGAGGGTGACGAGCGTAAACAATGCGCACGTTATCACCTGCATGCTGAAGTGCTGCTGCACACTGGCAAGTGTTGGGTTTCGATGGTAGTCCCCCTGAAGTCCACAGCCACAAAGATTTCTACCAGTTTGAGTCAAGCTGTCCCTAATAGCCTGTGCTGTTTGCTGTTTTTCATGAATAATCCTTAGAGTGACCAAGTGGAGCTGTACTGCACTGTTGTGCACAGTTTGCTTTACCGGGCCACAGGAGTTTTCTGTGAAGCTGGGGATGCTGTAGGACGGGCAGCTCTGGTGGGTTTGGAGGTTCTCTTCAGCTGCTGGAGGGGAGGGTGAAATTATTGAGACAGTCTGGTGTTGTGCAGAATGTAGTCCACCCCCTTCTTGACTAGGATTTGCAGGAATTTTAAAAGTTTTGCTCATAGATAAACTACATTTTTACACAACTTTTTTGTTCGTTGTAATTATGTTATAAGCACATAATAATAATAATAATAATAATAATAATAATAATAATAATAATAATAATAATAATAATGCTATTTATTATTGTTATTATTATTATTATTACTATTATTATTTTAATACAACTTAAAGTATAATGTATACGTTTTTAATACATTTTTTTTTAATACCACCTTGTGGTTTTCAGTATGCATATGGACAAAATTTTCTTTTTTTCCCCCTTTTCTATCCTCGAGGGCGGCAGTACTGGCGCAAAAAACACACCTTTGGACAATGTAGTTCTCAAATAATCAATTCCCACGCTGCTCCATGATGGGCAGCCTACACTTCCCAGCGTTCCTCAGAGTTGCTCTGGTCCGTTTGTTTTGCTGCTCAGACGCGGCTAGTTCAACTTGCCACAGCGCGGTGAAGCTGAGGGTTGTTCTTCTGATGGCTGTCTTCCGCATAGCGTGAATTCAACCTCTTCTCTTTAATTAGCATCTAACGGTCGCTTGTATTCCATCTGATTCTGCTTTGTAGTTTTTGTTTGGTAGTCTTATCGCAAGGTTAAATTCATTGGCTAACGTTTAGTTAGCTAGCTGGCTAACGTTTACAGGAGTTTCCACTTGTTGCTAGCCAGGAGGAGCATCGCCCACAACAATGCCAGGATACCCTTGGTTCTCCTGGTTTCCTTGACAGATATCTGTTTCCTTATGTGTGGTCAAAACAATGGTGACCCGGCTCCCATGTGTGGCTGTTGTGACAGAGTTATCAATTGTAAAAAAGAAAAGAAAAAAGTTTACAGGCATCCCTTTTTCGTTCTTAATCTGATTAACGGCACACTTAACGGCGTTTTCCGCTGATGAAAGTAGTGCTGCGCCATACTTTGCGAAGTCAGCCGTTTACGGTGTCCGCTCCTCGTCTCAAAGTATGGATATATTCAGCGACTCTGACTCATACGACAGGACCCCGGACCACCGGTCACGGCGGCGTGAAGCCCACCGCAGACCTGGCCGGGAGAGGGCCAGAGGCAACGGGAGAGAAATCGACGGGCGAACCGTAGACATCTCGGAGAAAATCAGCACTCTTGCAAACACCTTACAGGTAATTTGCGCAAGTTTGCGTCATAGAAAAGACATGCTATGTGGATCTGTTCAGGGTCCACCTGCAAGCATTCACCTGTGTTTGTCCCCAACCATACGACCAAGTCAGCTGTTGGGAGATTACAAATCACTTAGGTATAAGTTTCATCTCATCCTGGGCTGGGAACACACTGAACAACGGTCTGTTGGCCTTTTTCCAGCAAATTTTCAGTATCAGACTCTTTAGTTACTGCATTTAAATTATGTTTATACACTTTTTAAATGGAGGGCTTTCCATCAGTTTATGGTTCGATTGTTATTATGTAAAAGAAATAAAAATCAATTGCCGTGTGAGAAGGCAGCATGTATTGAAGTATAATGCAGTGATCCTCTTCCTTGTGTTGCTCCTGTTTTTGTGTCTCTTCTTTGGAGAATTAACCTGCTTAAATGGCATGTATTCCCTATTTACATGAGTAATAAATGGATACCAGTCAAACTTGCCACAAAAGATTTAGTGTTGGTATAAATTCATAATTAACATTCATAGTTTGGGAATGAAAAAACAACCACTGGTGTCAGAGACATAATCCTTTTGTCTTTCATGTGCTTTTTTTCACCTGTGGTTTCCGGCTAATGAAAGCACCTGTATATATAATAAAATGAATGAATGGATGGATAGCTCTGTATGCATAGCCTATTTTGAATCCTTAACACATTGCAGCAGTCTTTAACTGGAAGTGTCTTAATGGCAGGACACCAGCAGGAACTTGACCAAAGTAGACAAGATGCTGGGTCAGTACAGGGAGCACACAGACGACCAGGCTGAAGCCATGGCACTGGTGAGATGCCTGTTCTCTTAGATGTCTTCTATTTTATTTTATTGCTGTACTACATATGTTAAGACTGTTTTATTCTGCTTTATTTAGCTATTTTACATTATAGAGCCATTTAGGTTTTTTTCTTGAGTTTACATTTGAACTTAGTTTCATTTTTTTAATTATTTATTTAGAATTTGATGATCGATGCCCTTTTTTTCCTTATTTAGTTTGTTGTGTTGTCCTTTATTTAAGCTGTTTTGCTGTATGTTTTATGTTAAGGCTACTATAATACAAGATTTTCCCAAAGTTTGTGATAAATAAAGCACATCTTAATTCTAACAGTTTCACCAACTAATTTATGCCTTTTTATTCAGATTTTTTTAAGTGAATGACACTCCCAATTTTTTGCCAACTATATGTTTATTAGATCAGTTTCTGCTGACAGCATTATACATCAGTATACATAAGGCAATCAACAAGGACAAACTGTATGGAAAAGAAGGAAAAGCCCCCAGAAAAATAGAAAAATGGGGAGTGACTTCTTAGGGGTCAGTTTGCCAGTTGAGCCCATTTATCATACATGGCTGCATGTGACCTTTTGTAGCAACACTAAGCAGTCAGATGGCTGGTTAGAGATGGATCATCAGATGCTGACAGTGAGGTCAAATCCATTCTCTCTAGGTATCTTAAGAAAGGGCCCCAAATACGACACTCCCATTTTTGCTTAAAAACAACAACAAAAACGTCTCTCTGCCTCCTTCTAAGTCATTTATACTTTTTCATGCATCAGCTTAGGGAGAACCTAGAGGAGTCAATCAGCCAGCTGCAGACACAGAGGCGATCCAACAGGGTTCGGAGCTCCTCAGCCTCCACGCTGCATACCAGCGACCTGGAAGCTTCCTCAGGATCAGGTATGAAAAAAATGACCAGTAGAACCAGTGATCGAGTTTTGTTTAGTAAACCTTTTTCAGAGTGTGAAAGTGAGCTACTTCCTGCTATATGTTAATATTGTTTGTTAGTTTGCAAAGCAAACCTCTGATAAAATGTATGCTTGTGATTTCAGAAGGCCAGCGTTTCTACCCCACTTCTCCACTTAAGGATTACACGAGCCCTCCAGGAAGGAGGAGGAGGTCTCAATCTGCCAATGTTCGCTTCAAGGAAACAAGCCTGGAAGGAGATGGTGTAAGGAACAACAGACCAGCTAGTACTTTGCTTCATTCACGTTCAGCATATTGCCACTAGAGGGCATATTGGGTAGATCCACATAGAGCAGCGGTCTCCAACCTTTTTTGCGCCACGGACCGGTTTATGCCCGACATTATTTTCACGGACTGGCCTTTTAGGTGTCGCAGATAAATACAACAAAATAAAACTAGTACCAGTACCGAAAAAAAGAAAATTTATTCATAATACACGTGAAAAGACCCAGGAAAACCGAGTAAATGATAAAAACGATAACAAAATAACGCTGAAAACGATAAAAACCCTGAAAACTATACATTTCACACCTGAGCCTCAACTCTCGCGGCCCAGTACCAAACGACTCACGAACCGGTACCGGTCCGAGGTCCGGGGGTTGGGGACCGTTGACATAGAGTATGTTGTATAGTCCAAAAAAGTTACTTTTCACTGGCCACAGTGGAAAATGTCATGGGTCAAGGAAAGGTGTGAAGGAGACTTGATAAGTAAAGAGGAGGATAGTGTACACTAGACTCCTTTACAGTGTCACAGCGGATGTCTGCTGTATTGAAAAGTACAACATCCACAAGATAGATTAAATGCACATCTTACTCCACCTCAGCACGTTCTTACCAGCTGAACAACAGTGGAACTTAAAGGCACTTTGATCAGCTCAACAAGAAGCCAATTTTATTGTAGTCGTGTAATAGTTAAACTGTGGGTGTTGCTGTGTGATAAAAATGAAAAACATAGGATCAGGTTGTGGACGTGGATGTCATGTTTAATATTTACATGAGCTGTGCTATCTTGTCAGATTTGTTGATCATTTTCAGTCACTATAGATTATGGGAATGACCTCCTCTGTAATGTTTCCTCTGCTGATGTAGAATTTGTGCAGCTCTTACTATGACTGCCAAAACAATACTTCTGGGTCATTTAACTTAATTAGAAACCTCCTAAGCAAAATTGGCTGTTCAATTACAACCCATAAATGCAGTATCGGGTTCTGTGATGTGTCTCTGCTGCTGCCGTCTTGGTCAGGGATCCTGACTGTGGCTACTGACGTTTTCCTGCCAGACTTTTTTGCTGCTATTTAATTTTTTGAATGAAAGAAAGCATCAGGTGATATGCTGATTTATCATCTCCTATTTGAATAAACCTCTTTCATTTGATACATAACAATAGGTTATCTGCTGAACTTGATAAGCAGTTAAGAGGATGGATAGAGAGATGGACAGTTATGATAATCCAGTAACCTAAATCCAGTATTTCAGGGGATTAGTCTGACACTAAATGAGGCTAACAAAAATTAGAAAAATAGATGAACATTTGAATCTCATGAATATTTTTCATAGTGTAGGAGAAAGCTGGTTATTATTTGTTAGTCGGCTTATTTATCACTTTTAT